TGTGTTTGTCTTTAGGTAAGAAAAACTGGTAAAATAATTTTTATTCATCACATCAGAAATTCAAGTTGGGTACAAAATCAGTGTGAAATTATTCGAAGATGAAATAAACACATATGGGCTTATTTCAATACTTGAGGAAAAAAATGTGAAAGCTTGTATCCAAAAGGACACTTTGGGAGAAGGTGCTGGGCGGAAATACCTGGAATATTTATTTCAGGGAGCCCCCCACTCTCCTGCGCCCCCACCCCCATCTCCAGAATGCACCACCCAAGTGGGACACAGCAGCAAGAGCAGAGTCTGTTCCAGAGGCCAAGAGAGCAGGCATCTTCTACCTCAGGTAGTGTCCTGCATTTTACCCGTGGTGTGCAGCGGCATGTCCCTGCGTTTTCATCATCAAATTCAGTCACTGAGTCTTTGCGGTTTCTGAAGCATCCTTACCTCACATTCACCCAAACTTCACTGATCAAAGATGTGTTCTAGAGGGCCAGCCAGATAGCTCAGTGGATTAAAGAGCCTGCTTCGGCAGACGCAGGGACCCAGGGACACAGGGACCTGGGTTCGATCCCCAGCTGCTGTGCCATCCCCACCCCCAGGGCCCTAGAGAAGGCCATCCCCACCCCCAGGGCCCTAGAGAAGGCAATTGAGACTGGGTGTGGTGGTGCACGCCTGTAATCCCAGCGCTTGAGAGGCTGAAAACAGGAGTCTCACTATGAGTCCGATCTGTGTAGTGAGACCCTGTAGACTCTGTACTAAATATATTTTTAAAAAGGGGAGCGGTCGGGGAGATGGCTCAGTGGAATAAGCGCTTCCCTGGTAAGTGCAAGGGCCTGAGTTCAATCCCCGGTTCCAAAGGGGGGCGGGGGAGAAGATGTGTCCTCCCAATTCTGAGGAGTAAGAAATCTATTTTTGTAATTACTATGTTGCTAGCATTCTATTTCACCAAAGTATAATTGGAAGAATTTCTAAAATAACAGAAACAAAACAAAATGCCACACTTTTTAAAAAGTTACATGTATCCAAACTGGGCGTGGTATGCATGCCTGTAACCAGCAGTTGGGAGACTGAAGGAGGATCACTGTGTTTGAGGCCAGTCTTATTTACATATGGAAACCCGGTCTCAAAAAACCAAAAATTGGGCTGGGAAGAGAGCTTGGCAGTCTAAGCACCTGCCTGGCAAGTGCAAGGACCAGGGTTCGATCCCTGGTACCACATGATGTGCTGGCCCTCCAGGCATGCTGTGCCAGCCACCAAAACCAGGCGTGGTAGCACATGCCTATAATCCCAGCACAGGAGATACTGAGACAGGAGGATCAATTACACTGTGTAGCAAGACCCTGTACCAAACAAATACATAACTAAATAAATATTTTTTTAATGAAAAAAGCTCCAAAATAAACAAATTAATGAAGTATCCAATTTGCCTTGACACTAAAACAGTGGCCCAGGGACTGTGTCCACAGAGCACAGAGTCACCCTCGACTTGTCACACAAAGAGCTGCATGGCCTTCGTCTGCCACCTCACATCTCTTTTTTTCCCCTTCCTAATCTAGCCTACTTTCTGAGTGACTAATCACCCTGCTCCCAGAATTGCTTCATTCCTGGAATTCCTTTCTGACCATGGGCTCTTACAGATTTGAACACTGTCCATACCTTTTTTGGTTGGTTTCCAGTAGCACCTACTAGCTGCTAGTTTCACTGTCCTGAACCAATTTTCATTCCTCTCTCTGCCGACATTCAAATCCACTTCACCAGCAAATCATACAAATACTGACTCAAGTTTTTACTACAGATTTCCCAAGAGGCTCTAATCTGCATTAGAATATTGTCCATTGTAGATACATTTAAAACATGTTTTTCTTCCTGTTTATGAACCCAGGAGGGGCTTTGTAATAAGTAAAGTAGAACTTTCAAGGGATAATTAAATAAGATGTGGATAGTTTTCATTTTTCCCTTTGCTACAACTTGCAATTCTTAAATGTCTTTATGGAGAGTTGTATAAAAGGATTTTAAAATTTTGTTACAATACTGGCTTATTTTACAATGAGGTGAAACGTCTTTCAACCTTCCCCTACCCAAGCATTATAGCCAGCTTTAAAATGTTCAGTACAGTTTAAAATAATACTAAAAGTTACTGGATGATTTATGATGAAAACCACCCACGTATACAAAGGCATTAGAGGTGCAGGGTTAAGGACCCATGCACAGTATTTCTCAACAAATCAGCCACATTTATCTCATCTCTAGCCAATTATCTGCTGCCTCGACCCTATAGGTATGTCAACAATTCAGAATGCTCCAGAACCCTGCAGCTAACAACAGTTAACAGAGGGGTCATTTCTTACTGGAATTTCGTATGTTGATACAGGATTCTTTCCAGACCAGCACTGTTTCAACAACTGCTTGTCTCTTTCAACTTTAGACAGTAATAAGGAAATAATAAAAATAATACAGCTAGTGTGAGCGTGCGAACCTTTTCAAAGAACTTTAATTAAATAGCTTATGCGAACCGTTCTGAGGCGCGTTAATGTTCAAGTCCTTTGAAGCTGTTTTCCTTTCTTTGAGTCTCAGAAAGCTGAGGCTTTCCAGTAAGTAGGTGTTATTTGCTACCTTATCTCTTTGCCCAAGTTGTACTTCTGTGTAGGCTTTGCGCTGCCAGTGCAGCTCTTATAATCAAAATATTTCAGATGCTTTGTTCTTTAGTTGGAAGAGCCACTCAAGTAGTTGCCCCAAGCATATGAACAGACGCACCAAGATAGTGCCTTTTGTTCTACCACATCGACTCAGTGGACAATGAAATATGCTGTTCCCTCCTACACTACATCCCCAACCACCTCCTTACCTCCAATTCCATTCACTTCTTGAGATTTAAAATCTCAGTTCCTCCACGGACCTTAAAAACTCCCTCAGCTGAGAGTAACATACCATACTTCTCTACTCTACAGTGTCTTAGCTGTTATTTTGGGTTGCATACTTTCTTTGTATTTGATGGCACATTTTTTTTTTTTTTTCTTCTAGCTTTAGGCTTTAAACTTTTTGCTTAAAGCAAGCCGAGTCTGCATGCTTCATTCAGCATCTGCACAGTGCCTTGCAGGGAGAGCACACCCATCTGATGTTGATGAATCTGCCCAGCAGCTGGTGCACTGTATGGTAGAGGAGACAGATCATGTGGGGGGCTGGGACTAAGTTTCCAGCAAATATTGATAGACACATACTGCATGTGTGAGCAGGGTCCTCCTCTCTATCTCGTCCAACTGTTTCAAGGATATAATGAAAGGCAGACATACGAAATTCTAGAACAGGCGCAGGCACAAAGTAGATGTTAGGCAGCACTCCCCCGCTCCTACTCAGGGATCCGTTCATTCCTCCCATCTGTTTAATTGTTGATGTCTGCTTGCTTGTTCTCCCAGGCTGGCCACTCTGTGTCACAGAGTAGGAAAGAACATTTAATATGTATCCTGGGCTCACCTAGCCGAGGAAGCTGGTTTAGTTCCAGTTTAGCCCTGGGCCCATGGATGCTCTGAGCATCGGTGCAAGGACTCTACTAGCCCAAGACTGGCCCCTGTCCCACTGCAGTCTTGGACAGTCTCCTAAAGCCAAGGGTCTTGTGCTCCCCTGGACAGTGGCAGCTCTGTGTTGTTCAGGCCATTCCATGCTCTTAGAACCTTCTCAATTTGATTTATGGGAAACCAGGAAGGGGCTTAGAATCTAATAAATGTCGTTTAACAGACAAAAATCTTAATGATATAACTGAGTGGTTTAAAAATTCAGATCTGGGAGTTTAACTACCAATTCTGCACATAGTAGGTGGGGGAATAAAGCTTTACTTATCTTCTCATAGCTTCCTTGTCTGTAAAATGTGGGCTCAAAATATTTAGCTTGTGCTTTTTAATAAAACGATTCAGTGAATGCAAACTTCACAGTCCAACTCCGGGCACATAGTAGGCACTCAGATTTATGGGCTTACAATAAATGAGTATCTCTTTACTTTTCCACTGTGTGCGTCTTAACTCTCTGATCCCTAAAGATATTTTTCTTCTTCTCAGACCACTGTTTTAAATATATAGGCCTGGCTGTTCACAAGTCCCTTCCCAAAGGGTTCTGCACTGCCCACTGCCCAAGGTACTTCCTCTAGGAACAGTTCAAACGTTGGGAAACAAACTTACTCCAACTTAACCCTTCAATTTCTTTACCCTTCTTTCCTCGGAGGAAGCCCTATGCGCTTTATAATAGTAATTTTAAAAGCACTAAACAACTAAAACACTTCATCGAGGGAGAAAAGGATACCTCAAGTGCTCCAGTTTTCGTAACAGGATTGCCATCTTTCCTCCCAGTCCACTGATGGCTAAAATCTCGTGTGTCTGCTTAAGTGATCACTTTTCATAGAGGAGCTCCATGTTTTAGAAAACCCAGCCTTGCACCCACGCGTGCACCGGAGGCGGAGGTGGGTGGGGACACGCGGCTGCTGCGGGCCGGGCCGGGCCAAAGTCCTTTTCCTCCTCCTCGACCTTTTCCTCCTCCCCCGCGGGGCGGTGGCCCTGCCCAAAGCCTCCAGCCCAATCTGTTCTCTCCCAGATCAGCCACTGGCCGCGCACATTGGGCAGAGCGCCCCAGGTACCTGGGCGAGGCGGCACCGTCCCAATCCACAGGTTACAGCAGCTTTTAGGTTTTCTTTTTCAAAACATTTACGAGGTGACGGACTCTTAAAATAATCTAATAAATGCGTTGGGCTCTTTTGCCCAGAATAAAATGACGGTGCACAAGAAAATTCTGCATGCAATTTCAGAGTGTGTGCAGGTCCCCGCGTCTCCGAATCGCGAGACGGCCGAGAGGGAAGGCGAACTTGTCGCCGCCCCCCGCTTCCCAGATCGCGCGTAGAGCCTGCACGGGTCACACGGATGACACCCCGCGCGGAGCCTCCAGGCAGCGTCCCTGGGCAGATGCGCTCGTGGCAGGTGGGCAAGGAGCCACAGGTGGGCCGGACCGGTCCGCACAGCACTCACCGTTGGCCACGAGGCTGCGCCCCTTCCGGGCTAGGGTCTGCTGCACCTGCTCCTGGATCCGTAGGCTCTTGGCCGCCTGGCCGCCGCGGCCGCCGCCGCCCGCCAGCTTCAGCTTGGCCTCGGAGGGCAGCGCCAGGCTGGAGCTGTCCAGCTGGCCGAAGATCTGCTGGCCCAGCACGGTTCGGATGTAGCCGCAGTCGGCCGGGGAGCCCAGGACTGCCATGGCGTCGGCGAGGGACTGAGCCGCTGGCCTGACGCGGGACCTGAGGGCCAAGCTGCAGCGCAGCCGGGAGCGCGGGCGAGAGCCCCGCCCCCGCCCCGCCCCCGCCCCAATCAGGTTCGTCGACCTAGGCCACGCCCCAGCCACACCTACCGCGGCAGACCCAGCACCGCCTCTGCCGGGCTCGGGCATCCTCACCTCGCCCCCATCAGCCCCGCCCACTAGCGGCACACCACGCCTCAGCCACACCCACCGCCACAGGCCCCGCCCCCCACCCAGTCCGGCCCTGCCTCTGCCCGGGCCACCGGCTACAGGCCACACCTCGGCCACGCCCACCATGCGCAGGCCCCGCCCCTGCCCGCCCCTGCTCCCCCCTGCTTGGGTAGATGACTGGGCCCTAGGAAGAGCTGCCTAGGGGATCAGTGGGCCCGGGGAAGGGGGTCGCACCTTGGTCTGAGCACGCGCACTCTAGCCGGGTGGGGGGGCGGAGCCGGAGGTGGGGCCAGCCGAGGGGCCAAGCGGCCAGAGCCAGTACACCTGGCCGTGGAAACAGCCCCGGTAGTGCTCCTGGCCGGGTTCCCGGCCGGAGTGAGGCCGAAGTTCTGCTGCCCGAGGCCCGCCCTGCCTGCAGACAGGTGCGCCGGGAGCGGCACTTCTGCTCCCTGAGGCTCCCTCTTTGCGACCTGAGACAGGTTCTGCTGGACCTGCGGGCCACAGAGCGCTGTTAGCTCGGGCGCAAAGGGCAATAGGAGACGGTGCCAAGAAGATGTCATGCGTGACACGAGAGACTTCTAAAAGCTTTTCCCTTGCTGCAGCTTGATGGCTGCGTGCTTCTAGTACAGACTCAACCCAGGGCATATGTTCATCTCCATCAACGCGTCTGTATCCTCCTGATGCACAGGGACGGTACCCTGCACTCCTAGACACGCTGTACCCCGCACACCTGTAGACGCTGTACTCCGCACTCCTAAACACGTTTTATCCCGCACTCCTGCAAACACTGTACACCACACTCCTACGCACACTCCTAAACACGTTGTAACCCTTAATCTTGCGCTTGCTGTACCCCACACTCCTGCATGTGCTACACCGCACACTCCTGCACATGCTGTACCCTGCACTTGTGCACACGCTGTACCACACGCTTCTGCACATGCTGTATCCTGCCCTCCTGCACCCACTGTACCGTGCACTCTTAAACATGCTGTACCCCGCACTGCTGACCACCGCTGCTTTTTCAGCTACCCACACAGAGAAACACCAGAAAGGATGGAAGCTGGGCTTCAACAGAGTTGCTCTTTAATACCTGGAGTTGATTGAGGCTTTGATGACAGTTCTTTGTGGGACCCACAGAAGCCCCCTCCTTCTAACCACACCTTCCCCAAATCTTGTTTATGATGCTGTTATTCATGCTCCACATACAGTCTATGCTAGAACTGGAGAGCTAGGCACGAGGAAAAGCTTCTGTGACCTGAAGATTTACAACCTGAACTGTAGCAGAAAAACCAACGTCGAAGCAAATGGAGCTCTTTGCACTGAGGAGTTAGAAGGCAACTTTCGTGATACTAGGGAGCTGGGAAACCCAGAGGTGCAAATCACCAGCCCAGCAGCAGGTTTGAGTTCAGTTTAAATACAGTTTGTGCGTGGGAAGTACAAAGCTGATAGCAGGCTATTACATGACTGGTTCCATGCAGTACAAGAATCATGCCATCTATTGTCAGGCAGGCTTGTAGAGGAACATTCTGGGAGGGCAGGGGCTCCGAGAAAGGTAGATAGACTTTGTGGTGATTGATACACTGTGTCAACTTGAGAACTTGGAAGCTTGGCTGGATCCCATTGCCCACACTGGGTGTGGGCACCTCCCACACACACACCTGGGGTGGGGAGGACCCACCCCAGAGTGATTCAGCACAAAAAGAGTATATAAAGGAGTTGAGGAGGGTTTCTGTGCCCCACTTCCTTGGAGGGCATAGGACGTTCGCTGGGCCACTTCACAGCCCTGCCACTTTGGAGGACCTTGATCTCCGTAGCCCGGCCACTTCGGAGGAGTGCGTTGTTTTCTGCTGCTGTGAACTGCTATGGTGTGCGTTGGAGCCAGCAGAGTATGGACTGAAACTTCCACTAACTGTGAGCTAAATAAACTTTTCCTTGCTCCATTTTGGGTGTGGGTATTTTGTCCCAGCAATGAGTGAAAAGTAACCAAGACAGACTTGAATGTATCCTTAACTGGGCCAGTCATCCCCCAAACATGATGGCCCTTAAGCCCTTGAAGCAAGTTGGAATCATGAATATTTATTTTTATTTTTATTTTTATTTTTTCAAAATTTTATTGGTAAACAGATAGCAATGAGACAGTTTCAAACCAAATCGGTAGTACAGCTTCAACAACCAACACACTGCATATATTCTTCTTAGTGGTTAATTGCTGTACAAGATGCGGACTTGAGATCCTATTTACAAACACCATTAGAACAAATCATTCTATTCATTAAGAGAATGTAACTATATATCTATCCTAACCACTTTGAATACACAGACACAAAATGAACATTCATCTGTATACCCCTTTTTTTCTAAGTTCTGTTATTTGAGTATTATAGGTGTGTAAATTCAGCAAAATATTCTAAAAGAGTCCAGTAGCCCATAATAGCATTGGGTCTTCTATTTAACTGGCAATGTCAGAAATTATTGACCTGAGTCCCCCACAGCTCAACATAACAGCATGGCTTTACTTCCTATATTTCGTCTTCATACTTTTCTATTGGATGGTTAAGACCAAGGTAAATCAGGACCTATGCAACAAGAGTTGTAGCTTTTGGGTCTGAGAAGGTCAGTGAAATCCCCTCAGGAGGAATCATGAATATTTTTAAAACACAAATTTGACATAGTCAGTTTGACCCACACATTGTTTTGTTCCCCCCCCAATGCCTTCAGGGCAGGTTTGGCTGGCTTGAGTTGTGAGGATTGAACTACAGCCACCTGAGTCTGACAGCTTTGTGGAAGCAGCCACTTAAAGAACTGAGCTAGGGCCGGCCCCCGACCCACACATTGTTAAGGGGGAATACTTGGGCCTAGACAGTCAAGCTGGCTACATGACAGGCAACAGGAGTGTAGTCACAGGTATATACTGATTTCTAACTTTCAATATACATAATAGGCCTACAGGCCTGCTGTTCTGTAAGTGCGCCCTAATATCTCTCCCTTCTCTAATTACAGAGGAAGAAGATGTTCTTCCTCAGTTTCCCTAGTTTCTTCAGTGCTAAGGAGCTGATAGGGGGAAGCGGCCTGTAAAAGAAGTTGGTGGTGTGTGGCTTCCAAGCGTTTAGTCAGGAAGCTGTCAGAATGCAGGCCACACAGGATCCAGGACGGCTCCTGTACGGGAAGGGAGAAAGTCTAGGGGACCCCACCAGGAAGAGCCTGCCATAGCTGTGGAGCCCGGAGCTGGAGGCCTTTCCACAGCTGGTGGGGTGCTCTCTCTTCATCCCTGACTTATTAGCATGATAGCGACACTCCCGCTCCAGGAAGAGCGGGGACCCCGCACTGGGCAGCCAGGACACCTGAGGCTCTTGGATCCTAGAGGACGACGGCAGCTAATGAGCCTACTTGATCGTGCAGTGCGTCTTCTGAGGTCTGCGTGCTGGCAGAATCTCCAGCAATCCGAGCACTTGCCTGAGTATTGTCCTCAGCCTACGCCCGTAGCTGCAACGCTGAGTGTTAAACTCCCCACTAGGGCTAATTCAGCTACTAGGGACAATACCACGGGGCCACGTTTCTGTCATGACTGCTGGACGTGGACAGGTCCTCGTTGTCCTGAGTAAGCAGAGAGGTCAGGAAGCAGAAGAGCAAGAGCATAAAGACCCATTTTGGTGCCATCAAACGCTTGACGTTTCCTCTCAGCACACAGAGGAAGACCCACGTGGACTGCTAGAGGACCCGAGCTGACTGCCAACACATCTGCACAGGCGGCTGCAGCATGTGGGCACCCAGGAAGCAGGAAGCATTTCCCACACCTCGGTAGGAGGAGGCCGAGTAGGCGAGGGAGACCTAGAGCTTGATAGGAAAGGACTGAAGGGGGACGCAGAGCCTGCGGTGTTTGCCCGAGGCTGGGTTTACAGCCTGAAGGATCTGGTGGGTGCTGTTAATCAGGAGCAGGTCGGGAGCCCATCTTCCCATTTAGTGTGATGAGGGTTATGATGGGGCTCCTGTCACAAATAGGAATTTCTTGAATTTGCACCTGCTCCTAGGATGTTTAGATATTTTATCCACAGGAAAGTCATCTTGATTTCGGTTTAGGCAGCTAAAAGTAAGCAACCCAAGAATTATGTTTACACAGGGGAGAACAAGTGCATTCCCCTCACGAGGACTTCAGCCACATAATACCCCACTATCAACTTTATACTTCCCACTCACAAACTGTATTTAAACTGAACTCAAACCTGCCACTGGGCTGGTGATTTGCACCTCTGGGTTCACCAGGGCCCTAGTGTAATGAAAGTTGCCTTGTAGCTCCTCCGTGAAGTCTTCCATTTGGCTCAATATTGGTTTTTCTGCTAGAGAACCATTCATCCTGAGTTCCCCTTTTTGACTTGAGGGGCATAAAGACAAAGATCTATCTGTGGCTTTAAGCAAGGTAATTTCCCTTTGAGGGTTTGGGTTTGTGAGTTCACCCTCCAAGATTGCTCAGTTGCTGTGCACCCCTTCCCAGGCCTGTAGCACCTAGAGATGCACTTTCTTCTTCTCCATTTCCTCCTCAGACCCTCCTTCCTTACACCTGGTGCACAGCTATATGGCTTCTTGTTTTATATAAGCATCCAGGGAGAGAAGAGAGAATCAAGGGACTAAAAGCTGGGACAGCTGGGACAGCCCAGGGTGCTGGTAAAGTGTCCTTTCTCAGTAGGCCAAGTGACAAAGGTCCTATGGGATGCCCTGAGGTGGGAACCATAAGGCCAGCTGGGCCTGGAAACAATTCCTTCTCCATGCAGGAGATCATACCTGTGTGAAGCTCAGTTATGGAGCTGGAGGTAAACCCCAACCCTTTTTTCTTTTTTTTAATTATTTATTTATTTTTATTTATTAC